CACATCACAGCCTTGAGGCACACGTTAAAGCCACAAAATACCAAAAAACTGAAAGTCTAGCCCAGCTGTGAACACACTCTCTGCATGCCCTTACAGATTTAGACTGAAAGTGGGATGTGAGAGGTGGGATTTACTGGGCTAAGGGGGACTTTCCAATTGTTTTGTGGGCATTTTGGAGAAGTCCACACTGTTAGACCTGTAGCTAACTCTATTTATCTGCCTTTCTAAAGTCTGCCTGCTGTAGATCTGGTCAAAAACTGAGCACTGGAAGTAAACTATGCAATTACTTGAAATTATTCAACTTCAACAAACTTTCCTTGCAAGTTACTTGTAAACCTGTCTTTATTTCCACAGATGTATTTTCCATTCAAGGTATTCATGAAGCAACTCCTGCCAAAAAAATTTCAGTGTAGGGTCTGTTTTCCAGAGCGATTATTTTAGCTGTTTACTCTTTTTACTTTTGAAGTATGAATGATTCCCTAAATGGTGAGGTATTACTTCTGCTTCTCATCCCAGAGGACTGTAAATTTTTTTTTTTAATCCAAAGAGTAAGAAACTATAAAAAGAAAGACACAACATACAATATAAAACCTCTTTTGCAGTATGAACAAGATGACATTTCATCCCATTTGTACGCAATGTAACACCTAGGCAAGAAAACATAAAAATGTAAATCTAATAAAACTACGGAGCCATTTAGTATCAGCCCCAATCTTTGCTCTGCAATATCCATTTGGGGCTCTAACAGACCTAGCTGTGGCAATATGTGTGAGTTTCAGCTGCCCTCGGGGTTGCTCCCGGTTGCTGCTGCTGTGCTGGCAGTGGTGGAATGATGTCTCAGTCACTCCCATTCCAAGTCTGGGACATTGGCTTAAATCACCCATGAAGCAGGCTTGTGTTGAGATGCCAGATTGTGAGCTGCAGCAGCTGAGGTACACAGCTAAACAGATTTAATGGGCTTTTTGCTGCTGAAAAGAACTTTCCTGTATGGCTCCCTCCTCCCCTCTTCCCCCTGCAAATCTCTGTGGAAAGTGAGAGTCAGGGGGACAATAGCATGGAGAAGTACAAGCAAATCAGCCAGAGTGTTTATATCAAAGCTATACTTCTAATTTATAAACCTATGTTTTCTGAAGTAAAAGGAAATTGGTGATGGGATCTTGTTGGTTGTTCTGTTTCTATCCCAAGCATATTTTTCAGATCCCAGCTATCTCAGCATATACCTCACCACCATGCTGCTCTCTGCCTGGTTTCTCATCAATGGCAAGTATGTAATAAAAGAAGGTAAAAGTTCCACAAATAGAGACATCCGGGGAGAAAAATGCATCATTCGGATTAAATAACGTCAAAGTTTTATCTTTCAATAGGTAAATGAATATTTTAAATTAAAATATTTTCATTCCAGTTTTATTTATTTTCTGGCACTTGACTGGCTGGCATAAATTAGGTGAAGCTGCACAGTCTTGTACCTTTTTTCTATTTCAGTGCAATTTCCTTTTTGCATCTCTCTCTGCACCGTTTGAGGTTTTGTTGGTCTTCCTAGAAGTCAGAATGGGAAAACAGACTCCTTAGAAACACACCAAGCACACAAAAAAGAAAATTTTTGTAAGGGAGAAAGTGGATTAATGGGACATACTTCTTGCTGTTAAAAATCAGTCCTAGGTGCCACTTCTGGATCAACCACTGGTGTAAGGATGCTCCAAGGGTATATTTAACTTCACATGTGCTGGTGTCTAACTTCCCTAATGCAAGCTACCACCTGTAGTCTGGTCAGCAATTGTGCCATGGCCTGTAGGGAACTGAAAAGCATATTTATTTTTATCCTGCTATTGGCTTATGGAATTTGAAGGTACCTTTTTTAGCTTGCATAACTGTAAATATTGTTACTGGACCTCCCGACCCTTTTTCAATGTTTGCTCGCCTCAATATTTGACCTTCTAACCTGCCCCAGGAGATGGCAAATTCCACAGGCTGATGACATGCTGGATGAGGGAGTCCTGTTACAGACACTTTCAATTTTGCTGAGTGAGCTCCTGTTCATGCTTCAAAATAAGCAAAAAAACTTTAGGGACTGATCAGTTCTCCTTAGAGCCTTTTTAAATCTTGATTGCCTTTTCCTGCTGTCTCCTATATGAGGACAAAAGTCCATTGTTTTAATTTAGCTACCTGCCTAGCCACGGAAATGTTGTATAAGAAATGCTAGGAGGTACTGTGCAACTGCTTCAGACACAGGACCCTCGGTCTAGAAATAAAAATTCCCATTCCTGTGTTGTATCACAGTTAACTTTCATGGCTGCTCCTGCTACTCCATCCAGGAGCTCTTTGAGGAGTGAGTCATGCATTACAGCATGTCGTGCACATTCCCCGAAATCTTCCTGAACCCACAGCTGGAAACTTCCAAGGAGATACCTGCTCTGCGTTCACTGCTCAGAGCAGGGACTCAACAGAGGTTTTTAAATGTACTTTCCACTGAAAAACATTTTTTTTTTTTCTCTGCCGCTGGCCACTCCTCCCCTCACCTGTCAAGCCATTTACAGGAATTTCTGCTTGTCTCAGGTGCTGTCCTGAACCCTGATTCAGGATTCTGCCAACAACACCGATTTGTCAGGAACAGGGAGTTAGATCACTTCAAGAATCATCATCAAAGGTGTTTGAGAAAGTGATTTTAATATGATGTTGTAAAAACGACTTAAAATGTTTGATGGCAAACTTCCCTCTGTTATTGCACAGCACGATGATTCGAAACTACCAAGGCACAAGTAAAAGTTACCAAGAAAAACCATCAGAATTACCGAGATAAAAATCAAAGTTACCATACTACAGGGTTATGTGCAGTCCCAAACACTTACCAAAGACCTGCTGCTGGTAAAAGCTCTCTGCTTTGAGAAGCAATCTTGAGGGTTGTCACAGTGCAAGGGGAAATCACTGCCATGCAGTCAGGCTGCTTAGCCAGGAAAGCTCAAAGAAGGCTCACTCAGGCCTTTATTTATAGAATAAAGTGGTTGGCTTGCAGTCAAATTACATGTGATAGTAAAGGTATGCATGAGACTCCTTGTACCCACGACTTTCTTTGTTCCTTGATAAATGAGTCTTGGAAAAGCCACTCTCTATTCATGTGTTAATCGCATGATTGGTGCTCCAAGCTCATGCCTCGATGCTCACTGGGTCAACTCTGCTCCTTTGAGGGTTTTCAGAAAGCAGATGGAAGCCAGAGGAGTTCTTGGTCCATTTGCAGCTTATGCCTTCACATCCTTTGGAGTCTGACCCAAATCAGACTGGTTTGGTGAAGGGGTTTTATCCATCACACCGGTGGGTAACACTGCCTCTCCTAGCACTGTGTATTTCCTGATCATAAGCATGCAGGAATCTGTGTGCATTCACCTGTGCTTTGTGCTGCCTGCTGGCTTCCCCGTGAGGTGTCACAAAGGAAATCTCAGCAGCAGGGATATCCTTGGGGCAGTCTGTGCAGTGGTGCACACTCTACACCTCCCTGCCCTACAAACAGATCGGATGCTCCTCTCACTCCTGCAGCTCAGGGAACCTTTGGCCTTACCTATTTGAGTATTGTAAGGGCCAAAGGTGCTCGTGATCACTTTTGGCTCTTCACTTAACCTCAAGGTGGGTTGGAAGAGAAATGTGTAAACCAAAAATGTTGCAGTAGTTTATGAGATTTTTAATCAGTGAAGCTGATTTTTTTCATCTGGACTTTAAATTCGTGATAGGCCTGAAACTTTCCATTGAATGGAGTGATTTAATACACAGGGAGTTAATTTGACTTTTTATTTAGCACCATTTTCTTGTCCTCTCTTTACCATCAGTTCCTGGCCTAATGATGTTTATATTTTCCCCCTTATTGTCCAGTTCTAGGAAAGACTAACATTTATCTCTCCCAGTCTTAAGAAAGCACATTTTCACTAACTGTCATAGCTGCCTGTGCAACTTCCTCACCAATTGTGTCTCTTATTGAGCATAGCTACTCCCAGGTCTTCAAAAGCTGCTCTGCACCTCGTATCTCACTGGAGATACACTCTGCAGGTTTGGGGAGTCTCAGTCCTTCTTTCTAGTTAAGGAGCATTGTCCTGATTATTTCCACACAAATCTTACAATTTTAATTTCTTTGACGTGGGCCGAAGAAACAAACATTGTGACCCCAGAGTGACTTCCCCACTGCCAAGTCTAAGAATGACTGAGACCATTTCAGAAAAACCAGCTGCAAAATTTGGACCCTGGTGCCACCTACTCAGGGATGGAAGCTGTGCCTTAGGCAATGCTTCATTTTCTTCCCTTCTCCACAGTTGTCTGAAGTGCAGATCTGGACTTGAACTTCTGAGGCTTGATGGGTGTTTGTGATCTGGGCTTTTGATTCCATTTCATCTCTAACAGTTTCTTTTTTCCAAACCCTTGGGTAGTTGCCCTTTCCGAGAACGCACGCTGCGCGCAAGAAACACCCTTCTTAAAAAACACAAACACTCAGAATAGGAGCACAGAGAACTGAAAGAGCTTCACCAAGAAGTTTTGTTTCTCCAAAAACCCTACATAGGAAACCTTGGCCTCTTCACTCCCTCAGTATTTGCTGTATTTATTTCTTTTTCTCCTCTCCAGATTGAGAGCACTTTCTGCCAAACAGAGAAGGGCTTTGTGAGATGAGGGACAGATCAGACTTGTGCAGCTTGTAGAGTATGTGCTGCCTCCTTCTGAGGGCTGAAGGCTAATCTCTTCCTCTGCCGCCCTTCCTTCCCTAAAAAGCATCTCTTTTTTGTAATATCCCTCTTCTTACCTTTACTTTTTTGGAAAAAGGCTCCTAACTGCTCTTGGCAGAGCAGAGCAGACATCCTGCTGCTGGTTTTTCTTCAAAGGGGAGCGGAGGAAAAAAGCAGAACTGAGCTTTGAAAGGAAATTGGCTGCCAAAGCTGATGAGCAATGATAGAAGCTGTGGCTATTCCCCCCAAATTGTGGCTGTTCTCTCCCTCTTCCCCCTCCCCTATTTCCCTGATGTGACTCACGTGCGGGCTGGTGCTGTCCCTTTCCGAGGCCATCCTGGTGCCCATCCCAGCTCTGTCTGTCTGTCTGTCTGTCTGTGTGTCTGTGTGTCGCAGCGCAGCCGGAGCGCGGAGAGGAGCGCTCTGAGCTGCCGGAGGCGCTCGGCGCTGAGCAGGGATGCAGCTGCTGGAACAGACCCGCTATTCATGTGCCTGCCTTGGCATGGCCCGGGGGGCGACAGGAGGAGGTGGCAGCCCATTCTTCATTGTCCGGGCAGCCCTGGAACAAGCGCCCCTCTTAGACTTTCCATGGCACTCGCTGCTACCTCTGCGAGCCCCATGAGCTCACTTGGGCAGGGACGCGCTGATGCAGCCAGAGTACCAAGAGGTTCCTGGCATGGGCTGTGCCTCCACACCAGCCACCCCAGCCTCTTCCCTCCCTCCCCAGCGCACAGCAGGATGGACAGATGGAAAACGAAGGAACGAGGTGCACAAAGTCGTGCCTGTTATATGGTGTTACATCTCCGAGAAAATCCGCACTTTACTCTTTTTACGGTCCCTTCTCGTTTTTCTCCCCAGCCAAAATGTCCTTCCCTTCCCCTCCCCAACACTTTTTTTTTTTCCTTTTTTTCTTTTTTTTTTTTTTTGGGTTGAATTTGATATGTCTGGTCTTTGCTGAAATGGAAACTTGCTTTTCGCTGAAGTTAAAAACAACTGTGAATGGCACTGGAATGGAAATGTGTGCAGCTGGAATCAAGTCACAGTGTAGAAAAACATGTTGTTGTTATTATTGTTAGGTGGGTTCCTCAGGCAGAAATATCAGCAATAATTCTCTAGATTTTAGAGAAAGTGCTACTTTGTGCTACTTGCAAATGAGGTAGGCATTTTGATTTTTGAAGGAGAACTTCTGTAGTTACAGTAACATAGAAAATGTATGGTAAGGAATATATTCTGTTTAAACAGCTCAGCCAAATGGGAGTTCTAATACTCCAGCCTGCCTAAAAGTGCTGACAAGTCTGTCAGTAGATGATCCTGTTGCATTGATGCTTCCCAGCAAAAGGCCTCATTTTGCAGTGAAAATACTAGTGCTTAGTACTGCAAGTTCATTTCAAAGTGCTGATGAATTTAACCTCTCTGCATTCCTCTTAAACAGCTTTTTTTTTTTAAACACCAGGATGTATGAGCCGAAGCAGTGAGATGTGTTTGGGGACTGGGCTGGTGTTACACAGGAAAGCAGGGCTAGGGTACAGCTCATTTTATCCCTAGGATTCAGCCTAAGGCTGGAAGCCCATCAGGAGCCATGAGGCTGATTCCACAACCAAAAGTGACCACCAAGGTTCCTACTTTTGAATGAAAACGGAGGTGCCTGCTTCTTGTTATCACTGCAGTGATTGTTTGAATGGTGCAGAGAAGTGGAGGTGAGGGGAAAGAGGTTGCTCATTACTGCTCTCCAGCACCTGTTGGCTTTTGCCTTTTTTTTTTTTTTTTCCCATAGTATAAAGAGCATTTAACCCCAAATGCAGCCATCTGCTGCTGTTGTTGACTTGCTGGCCTGATAGGAACCTCTATGTTAACAAAAATTCTCTGTGAGTATACTATTGCACAGATGCTAATATAGATAATTACCTGCTTTAATTTACTTTTTCTTACTGTAGTCTATAAAAAGATGTTATGGTTGATCAAGTTATAAATATATCTTGCTTATTAATAGATAATTTACCCTGGGTGGATGCCAACAGTATCCATTAAGGCATTCCTGGGAGTTAAAAGGACTTCATCTTGTACAGGTCCTTTGTGAACAGGCTTCCAGCAAACAGCCCATGAAAGCTGGTCAAAGTTTTTTTTATTTTCTATACGTGGCATAAGCAAAAAACCAACTACAAAATATTTTCTAGTGGTCAGACAGGAATGAAGTATCTATGATTTCGTTTAGTAGGTGAACAAATATTACCAGTGCACAAATTTCAGGCAGGACTGCATGATAAATAACAATGTGTCTTTTTAAAACTATTTTTTTCTGATTATATCTAAGTGCCATGCTAGGAGCTTTTTCTTTTAACACATTCTCCAGAGAGGTATTGCAAAGAGTAGTAATCTTGTACTTGGAAGTGGTTTGTCTGTGTCATTAATAACAAAGCTCAGAGCCAAAAAATGTGAGAAGAGAGGGGAGTGGGTTTATTTTAAAGTGGGTTATAATAGCTGCCCAAGAAAGGAGTGCCTCAATGAACACAGTTATTTAGATATACTTGTTTCCAAATGTGATTACAAAGAGCCACATTTTCCAAAATATCTTTCCACTGTTAATTATGATGCAAGAATGCACCACTGTAATGCTCCAGAGACTCGGGCACAGAAAAGGCAGCCCAGCTTCTAGAAGGGATTATGTGACATGAGTAGTAGCACTCACCAGTTTTAGACTAAGCAGCCCCTGAACTCCCTTCTTCTGCATAACATAAGTGGGACACCTTCAAAACCTGGCTGTTCTAATGGCTATTGATTGATTGATTGATGGATTGATTGGAGAGTCTTACAGGTACAGCATGCTAGAGATGGATGGGATGGGGGAAGTGTTCCTTGAAAGGAGGGTGGAGTGTATCTGGGGCATGATGAAAACAAGTCCATGAGTTTCCTTGTGAGACCAGGAGCCGAGGGGAGGCTCTGAGCATCAGCCCCATTCACTCAGGAGCAGCACACATGGCAGAGTTCCTTATTTCCACTCCTTTCCCTGCCTTCTGCCAGCCTGAGTGCTTGTGCAGCCACCCAAGAAACCAGGCAGAACTTCTTCCAGCTGGAAGGAAAAATAAATCCTTCAGAGAGCATCCAAGATAGCAACAGTTTCTGTAGGACAACTGCACTTCTAACAGGACAACTTCACTTCTTCACTCTTCCAAGGCCCTTGTCTTGTATTACAGCAGAGGGTTGGGTTTGGTTTTGGGACACTCTTTCTCCACCCTGGAATTCTGAGTGATGTCAGCTCTAACTCAGGAGATGAGAGTGCTGCTGATCTGCTATGGGTGCATTCACCTGACTCCCTGGGGAGATAAGAACACAGCCTGAGCTGTTTAAGCCTTACAGAATGAAAACCAAGAGCAGTCCTGAACTGGAAAACTCTAGAGAGATCGAGATACATCAATAGCACAGGAACTAATTAATAAACTGGCCAAGAAAAAATGCTGGGTGAGAGAGTAGAGGAAGGTTCTTGGCTGTAAGTGCTGATGTTCTGAAGAAACCAGCCAGTGAGAGTAGCAAGGGCAAGCAGAGGAACCAGACTGGGGATGGAGTTTGTTGAGTTTGCCACAAAGATTACCTGCTACAGCTGCCTGTGCCAGCCAGGGACTGCCCCTGCCAACCATCCTTGTCCCAGGTCCTGGTTTCTGTGTTTCACTGGTGGAACAGCAAAGCTCAGCAAAACTGTAGTGCACACTACTGCAGAAGTGAAGGCAAGAGACTAAGGGCAAAGGCCCATTTTCTGTGGTTTCTTTAGGAATGTTAGTCCTCTGCATTATTGGTTATTGATTATAGCTCGTGGTTAGCTTCACCTGTTATAGGAGAGAGCCACAGAGAGCAGCTTTATGTTTAGCAGAAGAATAATCTCAAGGAAGGCTCTGGAGGCAAGGAACACACATGTGCAAGCAGTACTTCTAAAATTCTCCCAGAGGGTGAGAAATGAAAACATCTCCAGTGAATCGTTAAATTTTATGAAAGCAAGGCTAGAAAGATTATTAAAGAGTCACCCATTGCTTCTCCAGCTCCAAGAGCACAGCAGGTTGGGGGTACATGCCCTGTTAACACAGATGTTGGTCCAGGCTACTTTAAAGTGCTCCAGATATGTTGATTTCCAAGGCAACCTATCCCAGTGCTTCAGTAACACCATTCTAACAACTACAAGTGGTTTTGCTGATACTTAATTTAAAACAAAATCCCTGCTGCAATTTTAGCCTGTTATTCTTATCCTCTCCACGTGGGAGAGAAGAGATTATTTCCTTCCTCGTTGCTACAGTTGTTTACATTTTTGAGGACTGTTATCATGTCTCTGTTCAGTCTTCTCTGTATTTAAGAAAACAAAAATTCTTTTGCCATCTCCTCATAGGTTATATTTCATAGGTCTCTGAGTGCTGTTGTTGTTATCTGAACTCTTTCCTGTTAAATTATCAGGGAGTTTTGGACTGTTGGGAGTCTGCATTAACACAGGTGAAAATGCTGCAAGTGGGAGAAATAATAGAGGAATAATCTTTGACGTATTTGGATTGATAATGGCAGTCTGGGGCAGAGCCTGTAATTTTTGTGGGGTCTGACTGAGTAGTAATTTTCAGTTTGTCCTTGAGAGAAAAATCACTGTTTTCCTCCAGAAGGCCAGGACAGATTCTAGACAAGAAAAATTCTTTTAGCACTCTTCAACTTTTTAAAGTGTCGTGGTAAACCACAGTGAGAGTGAGAATACAGGTGGATCAGGTTGTAAGGAGTACAAGGTCACCTCCTGAAGCTCACATAACTGACTATTGATGATTCCCAGAAATCCTAGCAGCCCAGACTTGCTTTGCCTGACAAAAGAAGGATTTGTCCCATTTGGAGAACAGTTTCTCAAGCTTCAGTGTTCTTTCCTGGTTGCTAAGACTATTCGATTTTTTTCCTCCCTTAGTCGAAAATTTGCACTTGAAATGTAGATTAAGAATATTAATTAACCCAGAAGATATCACTCCAGAAACAGGGAGTTTAGTTTGACTACAGCCTGACTGGCAGCTTCTTGAGCTCTTTGGGAGCTTAAGTGGACAAATAACTCCCATGTCAACCCTTATCTTCAACACGGGAAGGTGTGAGAGGTTAGAAAAGGGTTATGTGCATTCCAGCACACACCCCCTCTCTTTGGCAGCTCAGCCACAGCCTACAGAAATTACAGGTTGCTTCATGCTCTCTTTTTGTCTCCCTAGCTTGAGACAGGCTGATACTTGAAACTTTTTCAACACCAGTGGGTCAGGAGGCACACACACACGTGTGTCCCCCTCCACACAGCCCCCTGTTAACATGGCATGATCTTTTGGTGAGCCATACTGCAGACTTTTCTTCTGAGTTCTCAACCGATGACC